ACAGCCTTAAAATGCATTTATTCAACATATCACACCGCAACCTTCATATACATTTATTCAACACATCACATCACAACCTTCATATATATTTATTCAGCATATCACTCTACAGCTTTCATATACATTTATTCAACATATCACACTACAACCTTCATATACATTTATTCAACATATCACATCACAACCTTCAAATGCATTTATTCAAAATATCACATCACAACCTTCTTATACATTTATTCAACATATCACATCACAACCTTCATATACATTTATTCAACATATCACATCAAAACTTCCAATGCATTTATTCAACATATCACACTACAACCTTCATATACATTTATTCATCATATCACATCACATCCTTCATATACATTTATTCAACACATCACACCGCAACCTTCATATACATTTATTCAACATACCACATCACAACTTTCATATACATTTATTCAACATATCACACTACAACCTTCATATACATTTATTCAACATATGACACTACAACCTTCATATACATTTATTCAACATATCACACTACAACCTTCATATATATGTAGTCAACATATCACATCACAACCTTCTTACACATTTATTCAGCATATCACACTACAACCTTCATATACATTTATTCAAAAATATCACACCACAACCTTCAAATTTATTTATTCAATCCTACATTTATTCACATTACAACCTTCATATACATTTATTATATCACATCACAACATATTCACACTACAACCTTCATTCATATACATTTATTCAACATATTCAACATATGACACTACAACCTTCATATACATTTATTCAACATATCACACTACAACCTTCATATCCATTTATTCAGCATATAACACTGCAACCTTCATATACATTTATTCAACATATCACATCACAACCTTCATATACATTTATTCAACATATCACATCACAACCTTCATATACATTTATTCAACATATCACACTACAACCTTCATATACATTTATTCAAAATATCAGACCACAACCTTCAAATACATTTATTCAACATACCTCATCACAACCTTCATATAAATTTATTCAACATATCACACTACAACCTTCATAGACATTTATTCAACATATCACATCACAACCTTCATATACATTTATTCAACATATCACACTACAACCTTCATATACATTTATTCAAAATATCAGACCACAACCTTCAAATACATTTATTCAACATACCTCATCACAACCTTCATATACATTTATTCAACATATCACACTACAACCTTCATAGACATTTATTCAAAATATCAGACTACAACCTTCATATACATTTATTCAAAATATCACATCACAACCTTCATATACATTTATTCAACATACCTCATCACAACCTTCATATAAATTTATTCAACATATCACACTACAACCTTCATAGACATTTATTCAACATATCACATGACAACCTTAAAATGCATTTATTCAACACATCACACCGCAACCTTCATATACATTTATTCAACACATCGCATCACAACCTTCATATACATTTATTCAGCATATCACTCTACAGCTTTCATATACATTTATTCAACATATCACACTACAACCTTCATATACATTTATTCAACATGTCACATCACAACCTTCAAATGCATTTATTCAAAATATCACATCACAACCTTCTTATACATTTATTCAACATATCACATCACAACTTTCATATGCATTTATTCAACATATCACACTACAACCTTCCTATACATTTATTCAACATATCACATTACAACCTTCTTATACATTTATTGAACACATCACACCGCAACCTTCATATACATTTATTCAACATACCACATCACAACCTTCATATACATTTATTCAACATATGACACTACAACCTTCATATACATTTATTCAACATATGACACTACAACCTTCATATACATTTATTCAACATATGACACTACAACCTTCATATACATTTATTCAACAGATCACATCACAACCTTCAAATGCATTTATTCAAAATATCACATCACAACCTTCATATAAATTTATTCATCATATCACTCCACAACCTTCAAATGCATTTATTCAACACATCACATTACAACCTTCATATACATTTATTCAACATATCACTCTACAGCTTTCATATGCATTCATTCAACATATCAGACTACAACTTTCATATACATGTATTCAACATAACACACGTCTACTTTCATACGCATTTAATCAACATATCATGCTATAAGCTTTCCATGCCTGCAGTCAACGTACTTTCATAATTATCTACGCAATTAATGCATCTTCCAACATTTATAATCATGCAACCGAAAATAGTTGATATAATGCGTTAAGCAATATTCACTCACTCACTCACTCACTCACACAAGCACATATCCACTCACCCACCCACCCACCCACTCACTCACTCACCCACTCATCCACTCACTCACTCATTAACTCACTCACTCACTCACTCACTCACCCACTCACCCATTCACCCACTCACTCACTCACTCAGTAGTCTGGAATCACATATCAGACATATCCCTGAAATCAATATATCACATGACAATACTCATCGCATGCAATCTAAATACAACAATATAACACAAATACGTGGAACAGACATTTTGGATCGACAACTGGGATGACGAGAGATTGTTATGGAAAGGGGAAATCAGACCAGACAAAAACTATCCCATAAACCAAATATAGACAAAGTCCCTGAAGTATAGAATGTACACAGGAATATCGCATCACACGTATCTCCAACGTTTACAAACATGAAACCAAAAATTGATGGCTGCAAATGACTAATGTATGACAAGCTATAGGGTTCTGTGTGTTAAACAACCAGGATATCTGACATAGCGCGCTGAGACAATATATGGAGTAGCCACGATAACCTTGTTTAGAACTTTCTTGAAATACATGTCGTTTGTTTGAGTGTATTTAGCAGAAGAACGTTAATCAAGGGTTATTTGAATATTTTCTGACTGGTGTAAAACAGCTTTTGAGATTCAAATACAATGCTTTCGTCAATCATGTCGGATTCACACCCTAATTAGCCCTGTACAGACCACAGAGACAGCCCCTGTGTCAGTTATTCAACCTCCTTTGCTTAAAAGAGGGTGAGTGAGTTCAGTTTTACGCCGCTTTTAGCAATATTCCAGAAATATCAGGGCGGGGGACACCAGCAATATGCTTCATACATTGTACCCATATGTGGAATCGAACCTGGGTCTTCGGCGTGATGAAAGACCGCTTTAACCACTAGGCTACCCCACCGCCCACATAAAAGAAAAATAATTGAATGACTGGTGAACTGTACACTTTTTCTCGTTCATTCAAAGTCTCCTTTAGTAGATTGTAACATGACGGAAAACAGAGAAAATTGGTTTTCATATGACGTAAAACCTATCTAATAATTAATATTTAGTCAAAATAGCAGCTAGCAAAAAGATGCATATAAGAAGATTTTTTTTGTCAATTGCAAGTTTATATTTCTCATGCTGTTCAGAACACTGTTTCTTTATGAGTTATTCTTTAGATCCCACGCAGATCAATATTTTACTCATTTCACTTGCAGTGCCATATCAATTAAGACGACGGTCATCCAAGCGATATTTACGATCACTTGTGGTAATAACCAATTAAAAACTGTCAATAGACATCAAGAATAGCGTTTGAAATGAGGAACTCTGCCCTTTGAAAAGAAGGCATCCAACTGCAGTCATTATTGGTCGCGAAGCAAAGTTAACTTTTTTTCAAAAATTAAAAAAAGAGATCCCAACGCGATCATCAACATGATGTGTACCGGATTATTTCTTTGGTATCTGTAAGGGTGAGTGAGTGAATGGGTATTAGTGGCAATATTGCAGCAATTTTTCTGGGGGACACCAGAAATGGACTTCACATATTGTACCCATGTGGGGAATCGAACCTGCGTCTTCGGCGTGACGAGCGATCGCCTTTAACCAATAGGCTACCCCACTGCCCCCTGGGCGAGTAAGAAAACGGTGGTGTAATGTTGTTGATCACCTGTTTGTCTGAACTAATAACCTGGCTAGCTATTCTCGAACGTTCGTAGCCCTACGAACTTCGTAAGCCCATTCTTAACACATTGGCTACGATCAAAGTTAAGTTAATGGGCTTAAAAAGTTCGTAAGGCTACGAACGTTTTGAGAATAGCTAGCCGGCGAATGATACGATATCCCTTTGTGGATGATTTTTAAATAAGGTAAACATTTAGAGCTGGACATCGAATTGAAAATATAGCGTAAGCAGAAAGTATTATGCGCAATTACAACTTATCTGACCGGATCCACGTCCGATAAAACCAGGTGTTGATGGTATGAGCGTGTCAGGGTATGATGGTTCACTTACTTTCCATCGGCAAACCTTTTTATAGTTTCCTTTGTCTTACAAAACTTTATTTTACAAAATATTGCTTGTTTTTGTGTTTTTGTGTTTGTTTGTTTTTGTTTGGTGTTTAACGCCACCCTCAGCAATATGCGGTTGTCAAGTCTGGACCAGACAATCCAGTGATCAACAGCATGAGCATCGATCTACGCAAATGGAATGCGATGACATGCGTAAACCAAGTCAGCGAGTCTGATCACCCGATCCAGTTACTCGCCTCTTACGACAAGAACCCGGATCTTTAAGGGTTTGCAAATAGTGTGAGGGGTAGGTGATACCGGGAAGCATTACATTTATACCCACTTCGCTAACACCGGGTGTCATCACTGAATTTCATTCATCTTTTACATCATTTTCATTACTATTTTGCCTGTTTCAGCAGATCTGAATCTGTTTCGGTAGATATTCGAATAAGTACAGTTTCTATGTTGGTAACCACAGCCAATCTAAATTGCAGTGGCAGAAGCATTTCGTCATATTTCGATATGCTAATTCATTCATTTATTTCAGTAATAAGGCCTCAGGCCCACGTACATATTACATGCAAATATTTACAATTATGTTTCCCAGCAAACTGGTGGTGTTCTTACCTCAATGACTCTCAGCACTCTGGTTAGGTTGCCCACTCCCTCCTTGACCGTCACAATGACCCCATGAAGCTTATGACCAACGGCGGGAGGGGAAGCTGCACCACCATTCTGGACAAAGACTTCCTCCTCACTGATTGAATCCCCTCGGCTGAGGAATCGCTCCCTCCTCTCAAACTCCTGGTTCGTTACCGTCTCAAATTTGGCATCGTCAATGAGACTCCTGTGTCGCCAGCCTCCACCGTGCTGAAAGGATTATAAAATCGAACCGTTAATTTACAGATCTTTAATAAAGTAATATATTTTGCATCATTTAGTGTGTATGCGTCTTGTGAGGTCTTTATCAAAGTAACATAAGCTTATAATGGTTGAAAGGTCTTCAATAAAGTAATTCAATCTGTACAATAAACGTCCATATGTCTTGTAGGGTCTTCAATAAAGTAATATATTCTGTCCTTTATTGGTGTATCTATCTTGTAGGGTCTTCAATAAAGTAATATATTCTGTACTTTATTGGTGTATACGTCTTGTAAGGTCTTCAATAAAGTAATATATTCTGTCCTTTATTGGTGTATCTATCTTGTAGGGTCTTCAATAAAGTAATATATTCTGTACTTTATTGGTGTATACGTCTTGTAAGGCCTTCAATAAAGTAATATATTCTGTCCTTTATTGGTGTATCTATCTTGTAGGGTCTTCAATAAAGTAATATATTCTGTACTTTTTTGGTGTATACGTCTTGTAAGGCCTTCAATAAAGTAATATATTCTATCTTTTATTGGTGTATACGTCTTGTAAGGTCTTCAATAAAGTAATACATTCTATCTTTTAGTGGTGTATACGTCTTGTAAGGTCTTCAATAAAGTAATATATTCCATCTTTTAGTGGTGTATACGTCTTGCAGGGTCTTCGATAAAGTGATATATTCTATCTTTTAGTGGTGTATACGTCTTGTAGGGTCTTTATTAAAGTAATATATTCTGTCCTTTATTGGTGTATACGTCTTGTAAGGCCTTCAATAAAGTAATATATTCTGTCCTTTATTGGTGTATACGTCTTGTAGGGTATTCAATAATGTAATATATTCTGTCCTTTATTGGTGTATACGTCTTGTAGGGTCTTCAATAAAGTAATATATTCTGTCCTTTATTGGTGTATACGCCTTGTAAGGTCTTCAATGAAGTAATATATTCTATCTTTTAAGTGAATTGTATACGTCTTGTAAGGTCTTTAATAAAGTAGTATATTCTATCCTTTAGTGGTGTATACGTCTTATAGGGTCTTCAATAAAGATATATTCTGTCCTATTGGTGACATGTCTTTAAGGTGGTAGATCTCTATCCTTTAGTGGTGTATACGTCTTTGATATATACCTGTCCTTATTGGGGTAGCGCATTCAAAAAAGTAATATATTCCATCTTTTTAGTGGTGTATACGTCTCCAGGGTCTTCGATAAAGTGATATATTCTATCTTTTAGTGGTGTATACGTCTTGTAGGGTCTTTATTAAAGTAATATATTCTGTCCTTTATTGGTGTATACGTCTTGTAAGGCCTTCAATAAAGTAATATATTCTGTCCTTTATTGGTGTATACGTCTTGTAGGGTATTCAATAATGTAATATATTCTGTCCTTTATTGGTGTATACGTCTTGTAGGGTCTTCAATAAAGTAATATATTCTGTCCTTTATTGGTGTATACGCCTTGTAAGGTCTTCAATGAAGTAATATATTCTATCTTTTAGTGGAGTATACGTCTTGTAAGGTCTTTAATAAAGTAGTATATTCTATCCTTTAGTGGTGTATACGTCTTGTAGGGTCTTCAATAAAGATATATATTCTGTCCTTTATTGGTGTATATGTCTTGTAAGGTCTTTAATAAAGTAGTAGATTCTATCCTTTAGTGGTGTATACGTCTTGTAGGGTCTTCAATAAAGATATATATTCTGTCCTTTATTGGTGTATATGTCTTGTAGCGCCTTCAATAAAGTAATATATTCTATCTTTTAGTGGTGTATACGTCTTGTAAGGTCTTCAATAAAGTAATATATTCTATCCTTTTGTGGTGTATACGTCTTGTAGGGTCTTCAATAAAGTAATATATTCTATCCTTTTAGTGGAGTATACGTCTTGTAGGGTCTTCAATAAAGTAATATATTCTATCTTTTAGTGGTGTATACGTCTTGTAAGGTCTTCAATAAAGTAATATATTCTATCTTTAAGTGGTGTATACGTCTTGTAGGGTCTTCAATAAAGTAATATATTCTATCTTTTAGTGGTGTACACGTCTTGTAAGGTCTTCAATAAAGTAATATATTCTATCTTTTAGTGGTGTACACGTCTTGTAAGGTCTTTATTAAAGTAATATATTCTATCTTTTAGTGGTGTATACGTCTTGTAAGGCCTTCAATAAAGTAATATATTCTGTCCTTTATTGGTGTATACGTCTTGTAGGGTCTTCAATAAAGTAATATATTCTGTCCTTTATTGGTGTATACGTCTTGTAGGGTCTTCAATAAAGTAATATATTCTGTCCTTTATTGGTGTATACGCCTTGTAGGGTATTCAATAAAGTAATATATTCTGTCCTTTATTGGTGTATACGTCTTGTAAGGTCTTCAATAAAGTAATATATTCTGTCCTTTATTGGTGTAAACGTCTGGTAAGGCCTTCAATAAAGTAATATATTCTGTCTTTTATTGGTGTATACGTCTTGTAGGGTCTTCAATAAAGTAATATATTCTGTCCTTTATTGGTGTATACGTCTTGTAAGGTCTTCAATAAAGTAATATATTCTGTCCTTTATTGATACTACTGTGGCGTGATTGTAGACATGATAGAAGCGATTTATATGTTGATATGGTACAGGCGATGATATGTTGATATGGTACAAGCGATGATATGTTGATATGGTACAGGTACGATTGTTGATGTCATGATCAGATAACGTGATATTTACGTGGTGAACATATGTTTGCAGAAATAGATACAATGTATATGTTGTTTATATTAGATACAGGTAATTGCAGACTGGTGTGTAAACCATGACACGTTTACAGTGGTTAGGGATGTTTTTAGACTCGTTATAGACGAGTCATATGATACTGAATTAGGTTGGTACGTTTGTAGAACTGTATGCCATGATCAGTTAGCCGGACGTTTACATGGGGTAGAGTAGGGTTATATATAGGTTCTGTGATATTTACATTGGACAGAGGTAGTTTCAGATTGATGTGCAGACAATGATATGCTTACAGCGTTTAGCAATAATTGTAGACTCTCAGTATATACAGGTTGGCATTAATAGTATAGTAACGTCACTGGGTCTTCCCGGACACCAGACTCTAATGATAGAGGTCATTGACATGTGTTGATTTGCAAAACAATCGAGGATGAGAGCTGACATCTCACAGATAAGTGAGTTAACGTCACCCACGCTTAAACAGACTGAACATTTGATAAGGGATCGCCAGTTTGACAAAACTATGAGCCAAAATATTTTGTAAAAACTTAACAACATCTTATTTCTTTTTTCAACAACCCGATGATTTTGCTTTTAGGCATCTTTCATGCATAGAAAAAAAGAAATCTTAAAATTCCAATATATGTACAAGTAAGTTATACTTACGCATGCACACGCGCTCATGCGTGCACACATTTCCCTAATTTGGCACTTTTTTTCAATTGTACTGTAACAACAATGACACACGTTTACGCAACCAGTGTTCTCTCTGGGCACTGATGGCATGTTTGATTGATTGATTGTTGCTTAACGCCGCACTCAACAATATTCCAGCTATATGGCGGTGGTCTGTAAATAATCGAGTCTGGACCAGACAATCCAGTGATCAACAGCATGTGCATGGATCTACGCAATTGGGATAAAATGACACGTGTTAACCAAGTCAGCGAGCCTGACCTGCCAATCCTGTTAGTCGCCTTTTACAGGAAGCATGGGTGATGGTTGATGACCAATTTTAACCCGGATCATCACGGGTCACTGATGACATGTAATGAGGACGACAAGCAGAATGATGGGAAACAACTTCTGTATGAGATTATATTATATCATATATACACATTGCTTCTTGTACCTGACGGTGTGAAGGTCGCCATGAAAAGTTGCGAATGCATAATGATAAAGAAGTTCTTATACATGCTACTCCTTAATGGGATGTTATGCATGCTACACCTATGGGGATGTTATGCATGCTACTCCTTAATGGGATGTTATGCATGCTACTCCTTATTGGATGTTATGCATGCTACTCCTTATTGGATGTTATGCATGCTACTCCATATTGGGATGTTATGCATGCTACTCCTTAAAGGGATGTTATGCATGCTACTCCTTATTGGATGTTATGTATGGTACTCCTTATTGGGATTTTATGCATGCTACTCTATAATGGGATGTTATGCATGCTACTCCTTAATGGGTGTTATGCATGCTACTCCTTAATGGGATGTTATACATGTTACTCCTTAATTGGATGTTATGCATGCTACTCGTTAAAGGGATGTTATGCATGCTACTCCATAATGGGATGTTATGCATGCTACTCCTAATGGTATGTTATACATGCTACTCCATAATGGGATGTTATACATGCTACTCCATAATGGGATGTTATACATGTTACTCCTTAATTAGATGTTATGCATGCTACTCTTAATTGGATGTTATGCATGCTACTCCATAATGGGATGTTATGCATGCTACTCCTAATGAGATGTTATGCATGCTACTCCTTATTGCGACTCCATGAACTATACAGATAATAGCAAGAACATAATGTTAGGGAGTTTAATGATTAAATGATATTTTGCAGCATACCCCAGTTACTGCACAATGCTGTTTAGGCAAAAAGAAGGCATCCGATTTGGCACGAACTGAGCTCCCGATCATACGGATCGTTTTCTTTATGCATATGAATTGGAATATCTGCTCAAAATCAAACAATATATTTAATTTCAGCTGTCTACATTGCACATTTTTAGGCAAAACCGAGCATGGTCTCAAGATTTCAAAGAGCACCATACGACTCAAACGTTGTTTGATCAGGGGTAAAACATTCAACCCCTCAGTAGAGTTGTTTTTGTTTTTTAACAGACATGTGGATGATTTTGCCAATTTGCACGAATGAGTGACAAAAGTTATGCCTAACGCTCTTCCCTGTTATGACTTGAACCATATGTTCCCGTGCTATTTCAGGTGAATAATTGCCTTGTCTTTGCGTGGTTTTTG